CAAAGGCCACTAACAGCCCAGCAGTTGGGAGTATGTGGAGGGGGGTTCTTCTGCCAGGAGGTGCAGAACAAAGGAGGGCGGGTGGGAGAGAAGGAAGAGGCTGAGCTGAGTGCATATCCTGGCGCCTGAGTGCATCTCCATCTGGGCAGGACTAGGCCACTGGGGCTGCCCTCAGCTTCCCCTACCGCGCAGCCTGCACTCTGGACAAGGCTCTGCAGAATAGCCTGTCTTCTTCGGCCCCTCCTGCTCCTGAGAGGCAAGTTTCCTATAGGACTTGAGTGAAATAGCACCAGGTTGCCAGGCTCCGGAGGCAAGTCCCTATCAAGCTACTCCTGGCCGAGTCTCCCCTCAGGGCATTTGCCTTTATCAGGGATAGGTGCTGTCAAACTTGCCAGTGGTGGGATTTCTGACCCAGAGTGCTGGGTGAGGGAGATGATTTGGATCGGGGCCCTTTGCAAGCCATTCAAATTGTCTCAGGTTGGCAGTGCTTCACTGCAGCGCTGGTCACTGGAGGGGCTGCGTGAGCTCAATGGGGCCCCAAGTGGTGGGAGCAGGGAGACAGGGAGACAGGGAACTCCTGGAGCATACAGTGTGGCCAAAGCAAGGGGGACCATCCAGCACTCAGAGCTGTTGGTGTGGGATGGTTCTGCCTTGGCGGTGATGAGTGCCTATCATGGGGACATCCAGGCGCAGTGAGAAGGCTGGGCAGGGATGGTGTGGACAAGGGGATTGTGGAGGTGGGAACATGCCAGGCAGGGGTAAGGACTAGTGAGCCGCCAGGGAAAATGTATACAAAGGTTGTGAACACCAGACTGGCTCTGCTGCCTGGAACACCCTTCCGCCTGGTTCCTTCCAGTGAGCCCTCTCACCACCTCCAGTCCTATCACCTGCTCCATGAGCCGGAGTTGAGTGCGATTTCTCTGTGTAACCTCATGTTGAGCCCTCGTCCAGTAGATCTGTAAGGTTTGCTGGCCAGCCTACATCCCTGCCTAGACTGTAAGCTCCTCGGGGCAGGGCCTGGCCTGCAGTAGGGCAGCATAGACCTGGTCCACAGTGGGTGCTCAGTCAATGGGAGGTGGTAAATGGAGGAGTAGTTGAGAGTGCCAAGGCCCTCAGACTGGGATGAGCCATCTACTCCTCCACAGCCTGGCCTATCTGGGGTGGGCACAGAGCCAACCAGAGAGGTAACAGCACCATCCACACAGGCCACTTCCCAGCTCCTCCACTTTCTAGTCCCCTCCTGCCCTTATGTGAGTCTGAATGACTTGGGGAAATTCCTAACCTCCCCTTTCAATTGGGCCATTGGCCCTGTGAGTTTGCCACAACATAATTGCTCAGGTCCCTCCAACAAGGGGACTGTGTCTGTGGCTCGATGACTCATGCACTCTGCTCCATCCCACAGCCTTGGGTGGGACCCAGGGCTGGGGTTAGTGCCAGCCAGAGCAGACTAGGAGCTTGGACATCCCGTTGCCCCAAGCCAGTCCCCAGGAACAGAGCGTCCCCAAGGCTTTAGGACAAAAATCTGGAAGCAGGGAGGCAACTCTAGCTTGAAGTGAGATCTGAGTGATAAAAAGGAAGAGACTGAGGAAACAGTGAGCTCAAAGGCCCTGAGGTAGGAATGAGCTTGGTATGATCAGGAACTGGAAAGAAGGCAGGGGAGGCTGGAACATGGTGAAAAGGGGGTCAGTGGGGCCCTAGCCAGTTTTGCTCAGTGGACAGAGTGTCCTGGGTTCGATTCCGGTCAGGGGCACGTACCTCGGTTGCAGGCTGGCCCTGGTTGGGGTGTGTGCAGGAGGCAACCGATGGATGTGTCACTCTTACATCGATATTTCTCTCTGTCTGTCTCTCCCCCTTCCTTTCACTCTAAAAATCAAGGGAAACATAACCTCAGGTGGGAATTAACAAAAAACAAAAAAAGAGTCAGTGGTAGGACCTAGATTAGATTGAGTCCACCTGGATAACTGGGATAATCTCTCCATCTCAACATCCTTAAATCAAACCTCTCTGCAAAGCCTCTGTTGCTGTATGTAAGTATAACATATTCCAGGTTCTGGGGACCACAACATAGATATCCTGGGGGGACATTATTCTGTCTACCACAGTGTCTCTCTCATCCTTACCTTTCTCTCTCACGCTATTGCTATAATTCTGTTTTCCTATCTATCTACCTATATGATCCATTTACCTGTCATCTGGCCACAATTTATCTCTCTTCCTACCTCTTCATCAAGTCTCAACAAGTTATTTATCAATCTATTACTCCTCCATGGCTTTAATCTTTCAATTTGAAAATTGAATCCCCCCTCAGCCCTCTAGCTAATAAACTGACTTTTAAATTCAATTTCAATCCTGGCCGGTGTTGCTCAGTTGTTAGAGCATTTTCCTGTGCACTGAAATGTTTTGGGTTCCAATCCCAGTCAGGGCGCAGACCCAGGTTGTGGATTTAATCCCAAATTGGGGCACATGCATGAAGCCAAATGGTCAATGTTTCTCTCTCTGTCCCTCTCCTTTCCTCTGTCTCTAGAACAACGAAAAACATATCCTCAGGTGAGGATTTAAGAAAAGATACTTCAGTCTATCATTATGAATTATCAAGCTTCATATTTTCACATGTGTCATATATGTGAACATTCTTTCTTAATGTCTCCAAATAAATTAAGTAAATATTGAGTGCTTGCCATGTGTCCAATTCTATGTCATGTGGGTGAGATAAAAGGCTTGTGACACCCCCAGTAGCCATATTGGGTCCTTTTTCATCACCATCAATGCCATCTCTGCCAATCCATGCATACTTCCAATTTGTTATCCATATACAGACCATTTTTATATGGACTTTCCAGCCACATCTGGGCTGTTCTAGTCTGCCTTTTGCTTACTAGTCATCCTGGGTATGCCTAAATAATGCAGGCTCATTTTAACTCAATCTTAGATCAACTGTGGGTACAAAAGTATATCTGCTAGGCAAGCATCTTCTACATCAAGTAACAAATCCTAAAGTTAAATGGAATTTATTTTTAGGTTGACTGGGCAGGTAGCACAGAAGATGGGGCCTCCAGAGATGTGACATCTGGCATGAGTGGATACATGCAGACACACAACACACACACACACACACACACACACACACACACACACGTACACACAAATGCACATGTACATACACAAGCATATTTGTGTCCTCTTTTTTCCCTCTTTCCCCACATAGTGGCTCCTTCCTGACTCCCTCATTTCCTCCTCCACTCCCACCCCCAGGGCCAAAGCAGACACTTCAGCACTGACTCATGATCTCCCTCATCTTGTTTCCAGTCTAGGAATCTCACCTCCTCACCTTGGCTGTGAGGTCTTCTGAGGCAAGAATGATGCCTGTTCTTTCTTGGGCATGTCCTCCCAGCCTGGCCAGCCAGAGGCCTGGACACCTAAGAGCTGCCGGCCTTTCCTTGAACTCTGAGGGCTTCTGTGGAACAGAGAGGTAAGAGGTTAGATGCCCAATAATAGAGACTCTCCAGAGAAGTCCCCACTGCCCAACACAGTTTGCTCTGCCCCCCAAGGAATCTGCCTGTCTTGACCCAGCTGGTTGCCAGGGTAATGAGGGTTTTCTCCTTTGGTAGAACTCTCTTAGAGGAACTGCACTAAGTGGGTAATCTGCTTGGAGCTGGCCTAGTGGGGATCGGCTCAACAAGAATGTCCTTGTTTCCAAGCATCTCCATTGCACAAGCATCCAGTGCCAATTCCTGTCCAAGCCTCTCCTTGGGGCTGGCTGGAAACCCAGCACATTTGGAAGCAGCTTGCCACCAGCCAGAGCTGCAGGTCCTGGATGTCCAGCAGTTACATACCCAAGGCCAGCCCAGGCTCACAAGTCACTTTGTCCACAGCCCTAAGGGAGTAACAGCTTGCTCCCCAGTGTCTGCAAGAGGCTCCCAAGCAACCACCTTGCACCCTGGAGCCCTTCCCAGCGGTGGGAGGCTGGACAAGGCCAGGACACCATTAAGGAATCCCTGACTGGGGTGAGGAATCTCGGGGCCAGCTGGCCTTGCTGCTTCTGGTTCCACACTGAGCCTGGATCCTATCCACTTACTATCCAAATCCAATGTATGCCCGTCTCTTGTCCTGTGGTATCCCAGGGCAGAGGCCTCATATAGCACATCTCTGTAGCCTGAAGCTAGCTCAGAACAACCATAGGAATTGTATGCAGAACAGATCTGCACCTATGCACAGCTCACACCAACATCCCTAGGCCCAGAGCCCAAGCCCAGCCTGATAGCAGTCTCCACCTCTCTCCCCCAGCTCAGAACCCTCACTTAGTAAGTTTCATTAACTGTTTAGAGCCCATCAGGTAATAAATTATCCCCTTATTTGCTCCCTAAAGGAGCCAGGCTGGGCCAGATATCCTCAAACTGAAGTGTTGGGAAGAAATGGTACTCCCCTGTCAGAGGAGGGAGCCCCCACAGGAGGCCATGCTATTCGGAAACTTCTCTCTTCCCACATGGTTCCCAGTCCCTGCCTGGCCCAAGCCTAAGTCCCAGCAGACCACAGGCCAACTTGGGTCTTTTCCATGTCTTGCCGGATCTCAGCCTCCATGAAAAGGCTCTGGAAGGACTAAGAATCTCAGGCTGGGCCAGCTAGATAAGCCCAGAGGGACATTGCCACTGGGGCCCAAAGAGGGCCAAACAGGCACCAGGCCACTACCTTCATATGCTTACGGAATTATCTTCCTAAATGGTCCTAAGTCCCTTGAAGACAAATCTGCCCTAAGATAGAGCCTTGTTTGTGTAGGTGCTTGTTAAATGTATGCTATTCTATATATAAAAGCCTAATATGCAAATTGTCCCCTTGGGCTGTCGTTCAACCAGGAGTTTGATTGGGAGAATGGGGAGTTTGACCACTTGCTATGATGTGTGCTGACCACCAGGGGTGGCACGGAACATGGCGGGTGTTCGCGACAGTGGAGGTGCTGTGGGCCCCGATAGGCCCTGATGAGAACGAGACCACGGCGGGATGGTGGAGCAGGTGAGCGGGTGGGTGGCACCAGGCCAAGGCAGGTGTGAGCGGGGCCTGATCGCCCCCCCCCCCCTTCAGACAGCAACCAATGGCAGTGGCAGGGGGTGAGACCACAACCCGGTATGGTAGAGCAGGTGAGGGGGCGGTGCCAGGCCAAGGCGGGGTGCCAGGCGGGGCTGTGGGGCTGTGAGGCACGTATTCATGCACTGAGCCTCTAGTTTTTAATAAAACCAAGTTACCCTCAGTAAATGCATGGGAGCGGTCTCTGTAAGGTTGCTAGATTGGGGGGTTGGGGGGGGGAGGATTTGCTTTGATTGATCAGAAACCCTGGGAAAGGGGGAAAGGCTTTTGCTTGAACTGTTCAACTTGACTTGGAGCCAGTGCCTTTGGTTCTTGGTGGTTATTGGATTAGGCCAGGCCCCTCAGCTCCGAGTGGGGTGTCTCACACTTAGATTCTGGTCAAGGCTCTGACTTGGCTGGAGTTACTGTCTGCCGCCAGTTTCCGGGGAGGCATTTGGAGGCCCCAGGGATCTACATTGCCTTCTGCCATCTGTGGCCACTGGGCTGGGTCTGAGAGTCTGAGGAGAGACAGGTGGCCTGGCTGGCACATCATCCAGACATCTCCTAGTGCTGGTCCGTACCGTCCTAAACCAGTTGGCAAAGACTGCAGAGGGGTGCCTCTCCCAGGCATGCATTTATAGTGCACCACAGAAAGAGCCAAGGCTGGGTCTTGCCAGGGCAGTGTCTTCAGCCACAGATACTGCCTGGGCAGCTTTTCTCTCGATCCCAAACCCCTGCTGCAGCCCCTGCCTGGAGCCCAGGAGGCGGAAACTGCTGGATTAGTACTCTCTTGAATGCCAAAGTATGCGCTTTGCACAGAGCTTGCCATAGATAGGCAGCCAGCAAACATTTACCAAATGACCAACAGAATGAATGTCTCTCTCCCTTAGAGGAGGCCACCTAATGCCATTGACCATATGTGAGAGGATAAGGACTGGATTCCAGAAACAGAGGAGACAGAAGAAAGTGTGAGCAAATCACACCTGCATCTGTGCAGTCTTCCCAGATTTCATGTTTTCCCTTCAGGATTCCCCAGATGTCTACAGGCACTCCGATGCTAAGGGCAAGTGATCAGTTTTCCTAACACTCTAAAACGGTGACATTTCAAGTGTGATTTGTGACCAGCAGCATCAGCAGCACCTGAGAGCTTGTTAGAAATGCAGATTCTCATGCCCGACTCCAGACCTAATGAATCAGAATCTGTGCTTGAATCAGATCCCAGGGAACTGTGTGCATGTTAACACTGGACAAGTACGACCTGAAGCAGCTAGTGATTAAACATAGGACTTCTCACCTGGCTGCTAAGATGTGGCAAACTACATTTGGGACTTCTACCTACCTTGATGACTCAGACAAATTATTGAGTCAGATATTTTCTGTATCCCCAGCCCTTGAATACTGTCTAGAACAAGCATGTCAAACTCAAAGACTAACATGGGCCAAATAAACAAGGTTTAAGTTTATGTGGGCTGCCAAAAAACAAAAGCTTCAATTTTCATAGAAACGTAGGTTTATTTTGACAGAGACATGCTGAATACAAAGGGCTGAAATAAATGTGTAATCGTTAACATAAAATAGTAGAACATTTTAATAAAAATTAGTATTTTTTTCTTGAACATTAACTTACCAGACATTGAATAACTGCATAAATTAATAAGCATAACATAAATAAACCTATTTTTCTTGTTCTCCGAAAGCGAAATATTTCCTGTTGCGCACACCAAATAGGTCAGTACAAGACTAATGACATGGCAGGCAATCGGCTGCTAAAATATAGTATTAGTGGAGAGAAATGGTGCGCCTGCGCGTAAGGCACTTAAGAATGCAACAGGATTATAGTAATCAGTCATTAGTGAATATTGTAGTTCGTTATTGATAATTATATATAACAGGATATTGTAAAAATTAAGTTATGAAATTTTTTTGGAAATTTCTATTAAAACGTTTCTCACATGCCGTTATATTGGCCAGGCTGCAAAAATATTCGTTGTGGGCCGCAAGTTTGACATGCCTGGTCTAGAACATCGTAGGCACTCAGTAAATATGCCATGAATAAATATTGAACAATTCTTGTGCTCTTTTTTCTATTTAACGTGTTCAGGGTATGCTGGACTTCTGTTTCTGGACATCAATTGCAAGTTATTAGAAGAATTTTTGTTTCCAGTGGAAGAACAGATATTGTTAAATGAGCAATTACTGAGTGCCAGGCCAATGCCATATCATGTGGATAAGTTCTCAGTCTTTTACAAAGTGTGGTTCAAGGCCAAGGGCATCAAACATGACCAGGTGCTTGTTTAAAAATGTAGATCCCTGGGCCCTGCTCCAGACCTGCCCATTGAGAACCTTTGGAGATGAGACCCAGAAGTCTGCATTTTTTAAATATATATATTTTATTGATTTTTTACAGAGAGGAAGGGAGAGAGATAGAGAGTTAGAAACATCACTGAGAGAGAAGCATCGGTCAGCTGCCTCCTGCACACCTCCTACTGGGTATGTGCCTGCACGCAAGGTACATGCCCTTGACCGGAATTGAACCTGGGACCTTTCAGTCCGCAGGCCGACGCTCTATCCACTGAGCCAAACCGGTTAAGGCAGAAGTCTGCATTTTTAACAAACATCCCAGACACACTAAAGTTTGGAAATTATTGCATCCCTAGTTTGCAAAGGAAACTAAGGAACAGAGAGATTAACTGACTTGTGCAAAATCACAGAGCAGGTGAATGGTGGAGATAGGCCTCAAACCCAAGACTGCCCAAATCCAGAATCCACAGTTTTAACCACATTGTCTATTATTATGCTGGAAAAACTGATGCCCAGGCTGACTGTGTGTATTTAACCATGTGTATCATTTTGTGTGTATCTCACGTTTTCCCAACGTTTGCTATATCGTTCTTGTGGAGTCTTGGAAGGCAGTAAATGTGTTTTATTTTTCTCAGTGTCTGCAGCATCCATTACCATGCCTAGAACCTGGGAGATCCTCAACAAAAGTTGTTTGGATTGAATTTCTACAGATACATAGTTATCCATCCGTATAAACATAGATACTCAGAGGTCATCTCATTTTCAGGTAGACTCTTAAAACAAGCTGTAACAACTGTAAACTTTCCTACCTTCTCTTGAACCCACTCCATCAGACTTTTGCTCATGCCATTTATTGATATAGCTATTGTCAAGATCACCAGTAACTTCAACCTGGATGAACCTAATGATCAATAATTGTTGGCCCTTATCTCACCTGACTCCTTGGCAGCTTTGGACATTGAACCTTTTCTTCCTCCTGAAACTCTCTTCATTTGGCTTCTAACTTCTCTGGATTCTCCTCCTCCTCTTCCTTCCATGCTCCCCCCCACCCCCCAGTTTTGTTACTGTGGTTAAATAGATAGCATAAATTGTATTACTGTAACTATTTTTAAGTGTGCAGTTGTGATATTAAATATATTCACATTATTGTGCAACCATGACTACCATTCATCTTCAGAACTCTTTCATCTTGCAAAACTGAAACTGGACTCATTAAACAATAATTCCCCATTTCCCCCTTTCTCCAGCCCCTGGCAACCACATTCTACTTTCTGTCTCTATGAATGTCACCACTCTAGATATCTCATACAAGGGGAATCACACATTATTTATGTTTTTGTGACTGGCTTGTTTCATTTAGCGTAAGAACCTCAAGGTTCATTAATGCTGTAGCACATTGCAGAATTTCCTTCCTTTTTAAAGATGAATAATATTCCAGTGGATGTATATACCACATTTTGCTCATCCATTCATCCATCAAATGGACACCAGGGTTGCTTCCACATTTTAGCTATTGTAAATAATGCTGTGAGTATGAGTGTACAGATATCTCTTCAAGACTCTGCTTTCAATTTTGGGGGGAATGTATCCAGAAATGGAATTGCTGGAACATAGGTAATTCTATTTTTTAATTTTTTGAGGAATGGCTGTACTATTTTACATTCCCACCAATAATACACAAGGGTTCTAATTTCTCCACATTCTCATAAACTCTTGTTGTTTTCTGTGTTTTTGTTTTGCTTTATTTGTTTGTTATTATCTTAGCCATCCTGAGTATGAGGTGCTATCACACTGTAGTTTTGATTTGCATTTAGTGATGAGTAATGTTGAGTATCTTTTTGTGTGCTTATTGGCCGTTTGTATCTCTTCCTTGGAGAAATGTCTGGATACTTCTTTTTTAACATCTTGCTGATTCCTCCTAATTTTGCAGTGCCCAAGGGTAGTATCCGTGGACCACTTCTTTTTCTTTTTTTAAAATATATTGTTATTGATTTCAGAGAGGAAGGGAGAAAGAGAGAGAGAGATAGAAACATCATGGATGAGAATCATTCATTGGCTGCCTCCTGCATGCCCCCTACTGGGGATTGAGCCTGCAACCTGGGCATGTACCCTTGACTGGAATCGAACCCAGGACCCTTCAGTCTGCAGGCTGACGCTGTATCCACTGAGCCAAACCAGCCAGGGCAACCACTTCTTTTTCTACACTCACTTCCTTAGTGATCTCAACCAGCCTTATATCTTTAAATATCATCCACCTACTGACCACTATCAAATGACATCTTCAGCCCAGACCTTGCCCTTGAGCTGAGGCTACCATT